CGGGAGAGGTAGCAAATCGAATAGTGAGTTTGTACGGCAGTGTATGATGTGGTTGGCTTCGCCGGGCTAACGATGCCGTTGGTCGAGTCAAGATCACAGTGGGAGATCATACACGAGCTAGACGCATTGCGACCAATTTCGACGGGCCGCCTTTGTTCGAGAGTGAATCGCATCGCAAGTTCGTGCGTCTTCTATTGACCGACCAGCAAGCCTGTCAACTTTGCTGAGGTCTTTACGCCCTCAGCTCACAATTACAGGTCTGTTCAAAGGTGTGCCGATTACAGTGGTCTCCATCGGTATGGGCTTTAGCGTACGTCGAGATGGAAGCGTGCTCCCAAAGAGGCTCGTTTGACCCCAATCCTTCTACCTGCGCAAGCTGGTAGACTTCTTCATTCGCGAAGTGCGGGCCATCCTGCAAGGTGACATGTTTGTGGTCCGTCTGGGATCGGTGGGTCCTCAAGCAAAATCCAACGATCCGAACTCTCAGCTCTGATCACGAAATGTGGAACCCCTAGTGCGGCTCGCTCTCTCAGAATGCGCCAATCGGCAGCGTCGTCGTTCCACTGCAAAGCGTCGGCGTCTTGCAAAATTACGACGCTTTCTTGGAAGACGCTGCAAGTCCAGACGCTGATGCTGCGCGATGTTATCATATCACGAAGCCCGTAAGTCCGCAATGCCGACAGACCGTAGCTCTTGGCACAAGCACTAAATGCGCGGATCGTTCGTTCAACCCTTCGTCCAGCTCCCGGCGGATGCTGTCCTACACAAAGCGCTTGTCGACGCCTTGAATGCAGGCCTGCCCCCAGCACAAGACTCTGTGTTTGGCGGCCGCCAGGCATCCGTCGTGGGTAATCTCGTCAATGCTAGCACAGACAGGTGAGTGCTTGTCAGGGGCCCGCATCCGCCTACGTCTACGCGAGCTGCTGATGTGATTTGCTGTGCCAGCTTCTACTCCTCTCAGGGCAGGACCACATCGTTCTTCGAAGATCGCAATAGCGCATTGATAGAACGCATCCAAGCACACGACGTCTCCACATTTGAGATGGAAACCTATCTCTTGTCTCACCTGGCCCGATCGCACAACCGCGCAGTGCACACAGCAACCGACGGCGAGATGAGGGTCGCCGCGGCGCAGATCGTGTAAGTGGCAAGAGATGCGTTGCAACTTTACCAGAAGAGCAATCAATGTGACATCCCCTTGCTCTTCAGATTTGCCAATCGTACAACAGCTGCATTTGTCACGCCCGCGGAAGTTGAAGTGTTGGAGCGTTGGGCTGGTGGTGCCGTCTGTGAAGCCCTTGTGGCCGCGGAAATCTCTGCAGAGGTGTGTTATGCAATTCCCGAACTCAGTGCTGCTAATTTTTCTTTGCCACGCGCCAGCACCCGCTCCATCGCGACTGACGCATCTGTGACCCTGACTTCGCCATCGCAGAGACTGCATCCAAAGGGCGTGTGGTCGAGGGAGTGAGCCGAGATACATGCTGTCGCTCCTGGCACTTGCACATCACGTTCGCGACCCTCCTTGCACGTGCAAATTGCCACCCGGACGATGAGCCAAAAGAGCGCCCTGCGACCGACAAGACTGCCCCTTGCCATTGCATACACTGTCGCCCCAAAGGAGCGTCCGACTGGCGGCGCACGCGCAGACTTGGGCACGTAGACTAATGAAACACGCAGACAAATTCAGCCATTCGAGTGCGGCAAAGTGGGCGTTGGTTGCGAATCAACATGCGGCCTCGCGAATTCCGTTCAGCTCGGCCGATGGCAGCGCGTGCAGATCCGTAGGAGCCTGCAGTAGCAGCCTTTGCGGTGGAGGGGCCCGGAACTGCACGTTTTGAACAGGTTCCGGCGACACCAGGGGCGCTGCGTCGGCCATAAAGATCGTGGCAATGTGTGTGCGCCCATTTGCCCAACAGAATGGGAATACGGTGGCAAATCATGATCGGGTCCCATGTCGAAAGGGATGACTTCGCGCATATCTGCTGATTCGCTCTCTTCTCTCTTCAGATTCCTGACACTTTTTTTTTCTTTCCCCTCTACACTTTTATGGACGCTTGCTGGCTCAGGCTGACCGGTCTTTGCAGCATTAGCGACTGGCACACGTGTTTTGCGCAGGCGCAAGCGGTACGTGGATGTCTCTCGACAGGCCGTCATCGGCTCTCTTTACCTCCTACAGCATTGCACATAGGCTTTACAAGCGTATGTGAAAAGTCCAGATCCGACATGGCTTCTGCCGTTACCATGAGGATCAGGCAAGGTAGCTTCCGAAGCGGACACCGCAGCACCTGGAGCCGTGGGTTGAAGTTGATGCTGTGCGCGGCCAGTCTTCTAGCTGCCGTTATTCTAGTGCACCGGCATGCCTCCTGGACGAACGACACATGCTCGCCCCTCTGCTTTCTGAGTGCGCTCACGAGCTCGAGCGCCCCTCATGGAAAAGTCGCAGCGCAAGGCATTCCGGGGTCGGCCCAACTTATTAGACGGGTTGAAATACACCTTCCCGCGGACGTCACGAACCCTACGACACGACACGCGATGGCCAAAAGCGCGTTGGAGTATATCGAGGACTATCCCGGCGTGACGCAAGTCAAAGCAAAAGATGGCTTCAAGGGGGGCAACAGGCTGCAACCCAAGACTCACTTCAAAGCCAAGTTGATTGTCGAGGGAGACCGTCGATACGTCTTTCGCGATAAACAGAACAGACTGATCCATCGCATACCTATGGCGAAGGGGCATAGCTTCTTCAGCAAATCCAGACTATATTCCGAAGACGTCTTCCATGGAGTCGATCGCCACAATGAAGCGCGCACCTCTGTGCAAGTGACAGCCTTTCCCAGGATCGCTGACTCGACGCATCTGGACGAGGAAGCACTGCCCACCAGTGTTGAGGCTGCCATCGATAGAAAGAAGGAGCTAACAGGACTTGCCCTGAAACGCCTGAAGTCGGCGCCGGACGCGACAAAACAGAAGCGAAACCCCCTTCGAGCAGAGGAGAGGCAGTTGGGGTACAAGGAGGCATTTCGCAAAAGATTTGATCCGAACAAACGAACATTCCAACTCGAGACGCCTAGAGATCCGGTGTTTCACAGGCAACTCCTACGAGTGAACGCGATACTGGAGGAAAAACGTGCGTCGACAGAGGAGCTGGGCAAAGCAGCTTCCCAACAGCCGGCGATGACCGGTGAGACTTCAGCTTCGACTGGCGAGACGACTCCTAGACTTGAGCTCTTGCAGCCAGAAAGACCTCGGGGCAAAGGAGGCAGATTCATTGCAAAATCTTCAGAAGCATCAGAAGTTGTCGGCGATAAGGGTTCGGCTTCGACGGGCGGTAAGAGTACCAACATACATGTCTGGCAGCCAGATATATCCCAGGGCAAGAGGGGCGGCTTTATCGCAAAATCCTCAGGGACACCAAAGCGGCGCAAGCTGGACGGCGCAGATGATTCTCGCCGTCAGCGCAAGACGCGCACTCGTCGTACTCCAACGGATGGGGCTGCGCCTGCTCATGTAGGCTCAGGCTCTTGGAGGCAAGTACCTGCTGCGCACGATATTAGACTCTGGACGTCATCGGACCATCACGGACATGCAAGTGCGGGCGAAATGAAACGAGCAAGTATGACCGCGCAAGGCCAAGGACCACCTGCGACCCTGGAACGTGTCTCACATTCCTCTGATGTTGCCGCCTCACCAAATCACGAAAGCAACCCAGTGATTAGCTCGCCTTCTCCTCAATCGTCCTACAGACCAGTCATCACCTGGCACACCGCTTCGCCAACTCATTCTGATGCCAACAACGCCCATGCAGCCGCATCTCCGCCTCTAGCAGACGATTTCCACTTCCCTCATTTTGTTGGCGACTACGACGCGGACCTGGCGGCGTGGCTGCACAGCCCATCAGCAAGTCCCAAGAGTCACGGTCACGCTGCGCACGCGGATCCCGTCTCGTCGAGTCATGCATCTGCTGCAATCAAGGCAGCTACGAGCCACAAACAAATCGTGCCGGAGACAGCGCAGCACGAACCTGATCCAGCTAGTACTGCGTATCATCACTTTTCGCCCCTCGACGACCAGTTCGAGCCTGACGAGCTGACGCACTTACTTCGGAGTCCGCCCCGGGCATCGCTTTTGCCTCAAGACCACCATGGACTTGCGAACGACAATCATCGCATGCATCGGGTACGTTGAGTAGGAGTCGCATTCGAGACGATGCTCGGCATGAGCTCAGGCTGATGCCAATGTATTCCTTGATCACCCTAGCGATCTGTGCAGGTAAAGTCTGTGATGAAGAAGCGATCTCGGCGAGAGCTACGCGAATCACCCGCGCGGCTACAGAAAAGGGTCATCATCGATTTTCACACTATAAGCAAGCCAGAGCCTCAATGGGCATTGGCACATTCGATCAAGAAGCACTTTGAGGAATTTCACGGTGGACAAGAGCCCAACTTGGTCATTGTGCAGCACAACTTCTCGCCTTCTGTGGATCCGAAACATCCAGAACGTCCCCTTTGCTTGGTAACAGCATACACGGCAGAAGGCGCACGGACGCTAGACAATTGCCCAATTGCTGCGCACCAGCCAGCGGTCATGCCAAACGAGCACGTCGTGCATCTCTCTGACAAATTCTATCACACGTACATCAATGAAGTGCGGCAAGGATTCAGAATCAAAGAGATTGCACCTCCTACTCGACCGCGCAAGGCCGGCTATGGAAGGCTGGTCCAGACCAACTATCTGGATGAGGATGGTTTCATCAAGCCAGAACATGTAGGCAAAAAAATCATCAAACCTCGTCCAGCCAGGGGCCCTTGGACACGTGTGAGTCGCAGCACTGGTGCATTGTGCGAGTGACGCTTTTGACAAAGTCAGACGTAACCCCCCGCACTGCATCGCAAGCACAGGAGGCCATGATGAGTCGCCAAATGCCAGGAAACCCACCAACGGCTCAAGCTCGACCCCCTCGACCAGCGACGCCGCTCGGCGATTTTGGAGGTAAGAGAAGACGTTTTCGACCGCCTGGTGGCTTGGGATCCCAAACGAGCATAGGTGCTGCTACGGAGATTGCTCGGACGGAGATTGACAATGCAGCGCGTGGCGCATCCAAGAAGGATGCCTCATCGAGCAGAGAAAGCGTCTCGAAGCAGAATATTGCGCAGGAGTCCGCCACAGCGCGCAAGGTCACCGCGCCTTTGCAGGGCGGCGCTTTTCCGAGCGGGAAAAGACCTGCAGAAGTGTCGGTAGAGACGCTGAGGACGGCATCTACAAGATCCGTACAGCCAATGCGCAATCGGCCTCCGCCTGGGACATCGCCGATCTCATCATTCAGCGAAGGCGGTGAGGTAGCGCGTGCGCAAGTCCAGCACGCAGGGACCCACGATCCGACCGACTTGACGCTGGTCAAGAATCGGCCAGACAAGTACGCGTGGAAAGATGTGCATGGCTTGTCCCACAAAAGCTCTAGCTCTCGGCCCGTCTCTCCGCAGACCGTCGCCTCGTCTGCCACTGTGACTGCTCCTTCTGCTCACGCATCAGCAGCCGCAGCAGCAGCAGCGCATCACGATCCCTTCGACTTTACGATGGATGGTCAGCTAGACAGGTACACGTGGAAAGATCTGCACGACTTGTTGCACGATGACTCTCCGCCCTTCTCGCCCCATCAGACCAGTGTTCAGCCGACGTCTGCGCCTTTTGCGCCTGCGAACGCGAAGCGTCATGCCGAGCACTCGACGCAATCCCAAACCCAAGCGCACCATTCGAGCGCTGCTGCAGATTGCGATGCTGCGATGTCTTTGCACAAGACGACTGGAGCCGGCAGTGCTGGCGAAGGAGGGCTTCTTGATGTCGTTCAAGAATGTGCGCACAGGCATGGAAAATCGTAGCAATGGCCATGTATATGTTCGATGACTGTGTGGACATTGGCCAATGTGATTCCTGACACTTGCTTCCATTTGAAGATGACCAGCTGCACTACCTTGTGCGATCAGGACAGCGTGGCGGCTGCGAAGGTCACCTGAACAAGTTCATTCGTTGTTCCTGCGCGCGCAGGGAGAAGCGAGGTGCGGACACGATGTGAGCCTCGACCATCCAATCGCGAGTCTGACTTGTCGCGCTCGCGCAAGTCAAGGAGCAGACTGACCTCTGCCATGCGCCTTTTGAACATTTCTCCCGCCTCATCTCCCCACACTTCCCAAGGCGAAGTGCCTTTACCAAGCACCTCTTGCATGTGTCTCTTTGCCTGATCCCTAGAAAAGACGGCGACATTGTTGAAAGCGAGCGGAATGGTGCTATCCCATCGCAATAGAAAAGGTTTGCTGGGCGTCTCGAACGGAGCGACTACGGATCTCTGATGAAAGACTTCTTCGTAGATGTACTGAACATCTTCGATGCTGAACCAAGATCTACGCGGTCCTTGGCCTTCTGCTTTTCCTTCTCCTCCTCCTCCTCCTTCAAACGTCGCAGGTTTGTCAGAGTGTCCTGCTGAGCGCTGCTGCCTTTGCTGTTGCGCGAAAGAATTTAGCAAAGGATATTTGCGCTCCGAATGTTCCAAGTCAAACGACATCTAAAGCGGAGATCATATCAACATTCTTCGTTGGTAAGCAAGAGGAAACGAGGAAAGACTTGTATGGCGACTCGATCGTGTGCCGTCGATCGACTGAGCAGCAAGAACTCACACGCTCAAACATTTTCCGAGAAGGCTTGCTCGCAAAAGGTTCTTGAGGTCTTCCAGCAATTTCGCAAATGACGTACGTAGCAGCAGCCAATCCAAACATGCTAGGTATAGGTCCTACAAGCAACGCGGCGAGAGTTGTAGAAAGGACAAAAGAGGTGGACCCAAGTCAAATTCGCGGCTGCACATACACAATGCTGCAGGCTTACCCTCTTGCCAGGAATTTCCGACCATGTTACTGTCTGACTCACCAAGAACGGGCAAGATCCTGACCCTGAAGTCATTAAGCACAGCCAACTCTTCCACGTTTCCCCTCTCAAACTCTTTCTGGTCCAAGGGTAGCAACCCGACGTCCGACTTGGTCTCCGTCGAAAAGACGACCGGGATACCTATGGGCGCGTCCTTTTCAAATTGGTGCGCTTTCGAATTCGAGTTGGAAGTGGAGGAGAAAAGAGAGTGGGATATGTGTTGTGAGGAAGATGCGGGTACGGTGCGAGAGATGCTATCAAAGCTGGATGCCTCGGGATGGGTCCTGTTCAAAGCAGACGCGGTACGGGAGAGCGGATTGCGTGTTGGTAATTTATCGCTGGACGGCTGATTTGTGGGTGACAAGAGGGGACTGGCATTCAATTCCTTCAACGACGATCTTCTCCTTTCACCAGCACCAGCAGCGTCTGGTGTCAAAAAAGGTGGTGGTGAAGGAGAGGGTCGAAGCTTATGCACTTTGCCCTCTGCTTCCTCTTGCTCCTTCTGATGCTGGTCATCCATCTCATCGTCAGAACCGCGAAGAGTCGTGTCTCCATCCTCCTCCTCTAGCGCCCTCTTCCCTTCTGCCTCGTCCGCAGAATCCAGACCCCCTTCGTCCAGCTCGACAGGGACAGCCCCAGGCGTTCCAGGCGTTCCCACAGGTGTCCAATAACCCACATTGGCCGATCCAACGCTCGAGGCGCTCGAAGCTCTTCTCATATGTCTCTCTGGCACCCTTCCTTGGTCTGCCCCTCGCTCGCCTGAAGGAAGCGCAAAAGGGCTCGGGAGTGGATAAGCGCTGGGAGGAGACTTGTTCTCCCTATCGTTAAACGGCTTCTTGCGCGGAGAGAGGGTGCCGGAGAGGGAGCGGGCAGCTGCGTCGATTTGAGCGCTGAAGGTAGCCGGACTACTCTCGACCAGATCATTCGCCTTCTTATCACTCTTAGCAGCAGCACTGCCCGCCTTCTTCTCGTCCTCTTTTCGACCCGCGCTCTTTTTGCCTTTCGCAACCTCTCCCGACTGCTCTTCACCCTTGCCCACCTGCTCCTTCCTCTTCCTCGTCGTCGGCTTCTCTGGCAATTTGGGAATTCCCATCGCTCTCAACCGTCTCCTAACGTGCCTAGACAGCGGATCTTCCTTTGTGTCGTTCAGATCCGCAATCTGGATCCTGCTGGGATCTGCTTTGGCACCCGCCCCCATGGAGCTAAAACACCTGATGCCGTTTCTGTAGCAGTACGCGATGAGGTCCACTTTCGTATCCAAATTATCAATGCAATCCACCACGTACGTGGGCCTCTTTGCGTCCCATTGCGAAGGCGCAGCTCCCAGTAAATCCTTTGCATCTTTTGCGCAAAAGAGTTGATTGATGGCTTCTACGCGTACCCAAGGAGCTATCTTGGTAAAGTGATTGGCGCAAACGGACACTTTGGACATGCCCACGTCGCAAAGTTGAGCTACTGCGTGCCTATTCAGACTGGAAAGACTGACTTGATCGAAATCTATGATTCGAATGTTTCCTACGCCTGAACGTACCAGAGAAAGCGCGCACATGGATCCCACCCCTCCCATACCTACCACCACTACGAACGCTTCCCTCAGAGCTCGCATGGCCTGATCGCCGAGGAATGAATAGTGTCGAGCGAGTTGCTCCTTGATCAACGACTCGTCGTACGACATCGCAGCTTTGTTGCTTAAAGTTCCTGCTTGTCGACGTTGCGAAGAGCCTTTGAGGTGGGAGAGCGAAAAGGCGGAGGCGGAGGAGTGGAGCGGGTGGAGTTGAGATGAGGTCGAGGCAGAGAGATGATGAGAATGATGACCAGACGAGGAGGAAGGGAGGTGCTGGCTCTGCACAAGATATCGAGGCGTCCCACCATCCACCGACACATCTCCATCTCCCTCTCCTTCCTGCTGCTGCTCCGCGCCCCTCCAATGCTCGACGTGTCCTCTGAAATGCGAGTGTGCATCTCCTTTCTCAATCGCATCGGTCTGCCCTTTGTTCGGATCTTTCTCGCTTGATGTATGCGCACGCCCGACTAAAGAAGTAGATGCTTGCCCACTAGGCCCATTTCCACCTAGGGGTGCGGTTCTGCCCGCAACGCCCCTCTTGGCTCTCCTCTCCAGATCTCGTCGTCTGGATGATCTATGAGAGCTCTGCACGCTCCACATGGCTCCCGCAGTCAACAAAGACGAGCCGAGAGCTACTATGGCCAGTGTAGTCTTTGGAGATGAGAGAAGAGAAGTGAATAAAGTTGGTTCGGACGAGGAGGAAGAGGTGCTGGATGGACGTGACATTGTGATCGAGGTGCCAAGGCAGGGGCTGAGGCAGGGGCTTAGTCAGGGCCTAGGAATGGTGAGTGGATGCAGCACCGATTGTTGCTTTGGATGAGAATCTTTTGATCAGGAAGCGGCCCTGTTGAGATGCGTGGAGCCGAGTGCGGTGCATTGACGATGATCACAGTCCCGCTTGTTGAAGATGGTGTGAAGACCAAAAGCGGGAGCAAACTCCCAACAAG